ACCAAACTATAGACCAGACTATAGACCAGACTAAAGACCAGACTATAGACCAGACTATAGACCAGACTATAGACCAGACTATAGACCAGACTATAGACAAGACTATAGACAAGACTATAGTTCAGACTAAAGGCAAGTCTATAGCCCAGACTACAGAAAAAGCTATAGTTTAGACTAAAGGTAAGTCTATAGCCCAGTCTATAAACCAAACAAAACTGTAGGCCATAATATAGAAGACTATGATCTAGACTGTAGAGAAGACTAAAGCCCACACTATAGACAAGACTATAGCCCAGACTATAGACAAGACAATAGTCCAGACTGTAGACAAGACTATAGTCCAGACTATAGACAAGACAATAGTCCAGACTGTAGACAAGACTATAGTCCAGATTATAGTCTAGAATATAGTTTAGACTATAGACAAGACTATAATCCAGACTATAGTCTCGACTATTGACAAGACTATAGTCCAGACTATAGACAAGACTATAGTCCAGACTATAGACAAGACTATAGTCCAGACTATAGACAAGACTATAGTCCAGTCTTGTCTATAGTCTAGACAGACGATAGACAAAATTATTGTCTAGACTATAGACATAACTATTATCCATTAGCTATAGTCCAGACTATAGACAAAACTATAGTCCAGACTGAAGACAGGACTATAGTCCAGACTATGTATAAGACTATAGTCCAGACTATTTATGAGACTATAGTCCAGACTATAGACAAGACTATAGTCCAGACTATAGACAAGACTATAGTCCAGACTATAGACAAGACTATAGTCCAGACTATAGACAAGACTATAGTACTGACTATAGTCAAGACTATAGTACTGACTATAGTCAAGACTATAGTCCAGACTATAGACAAGACTATAGTCCAGACTATAGACAAGACTATAGTCCAGACTATAGACAAGACAATAGTCCAGACTGTGGACAAGACTATAGTCCAGATTATAGTCCAGATTATAGTCCAGAATATAGTTTAGACTATAGACAAGACTATAGTCCAGACTATAGACAAGACTATAGTCCAGACTATAGACAAGACTATAGTCCAGACTATATACAAGACTATAGTCCAGACTATAGACAAGACTATAGTCTAGACTATAGACAAGACTATAGTCTAGACTATAGACAAGACTATAGTCTAGACTATAGACAAGACTATAGTCTAGACTATAGACAAGACTATAGTCTAGACTATAGACAAGACTATAGTCTAGACTATAGACAAGACTATAGTCTAGACTATAGACAAGACTATAGTCTAGACTATAGACAAGACTATAGTCTAGACTATAGACAAGACTATAGTCTAGACTATAGACAAGACTATAGTCTAGACTATAGACAAGACTATAGTCTAGACTATAGACAAGACTATAGTCCAGACTTTAGATAAAACCATAGTCCAGACTATAGACAAGACTATAGTCCACACTATTGGTAGGACTTTAGAACAGACTATAGTCCTTATTATAGCCGGGGTATTTGCACATTTCCTTCTGCTCCGTCCCCCAACAGGTTAATGTTATAGTTTTAATATCTTTTATTATTACTTTTTTTCTTATTTTCCATATAAATATGGAGTTCTGCTTTTTATTTATTTTCTAAACTAAAGTTTATGCATGATGATTATTGGGTTTGGTTCTTGGTTTGCTGTATTTCTGTTTTTTGTTTAGGGGGCAGAAAGAGTAACAGTTTTTTAGAGCTATGAAAAACAAAACAAATGTGTTGTTTTTATTATTTTTTTTTATTACTATTATGGTTTAAATTGATTGAACCGTTATTTTTTTGGTAAGAAGATTTACTTTTGTTAGGAAAAAGTTGTTGTTTGTGTTTGTTGGCTCTATCTAACCACATATGAAAACTTAGTTTTATGAGTTTTTCATATGTAAATTTTTATATATTTTTTTAGTTTAAATAGTATTAAAATGAATGTGGGATGTTGTTGATGATTTGTTTTAATAAATATGCATATTTTAGTTTAAGTTTTATAAATAGAAAAATTATTCTAACAGTGTTAGAAGGAGTGTGTTTGGAGATATGTATATGATTTTAGGTGTTGTTTTTTTCTATTGTTGTGAAATTATTTGGGTGAATTTTCTATATTAGGAAAATTAGAGAAGAAATAAAATGTAATAGACTATAGTCCAGACTATAGACAAGACTATAGTCTAGACTATAGACAAGACTATAGTCTAGACTATAGACAAGACTATAGTCTAGACTATAGACAAGACTATAGTCTAGACTATAGACAAGACTATAGTCTAGACTATAGACAAGACTATAGTCTAGACTATAGACAAGACTATAGTCTAGACTATAGACAAGACTATAGTCTAGACTATAGACAAGACTATAGTCTAGACTATAGACAAGACTATAGTCTAGACTATAGACAAGACTATAGTCTAGACTATAGACAAGACTATAGTCTAGACTATAGACAAGACTATAGTCTACTAGACAAGACTATAGTCCAGACTTTAGATAAAACCATAGTCCAGACTATAGACAAGACTATAGTCCACACTATTGGTAGGACTTTAGAACAGACTATAGTCCTTATTATAGCCGGGGTATTTGCACATTTCCTTCTGCTCCGTCCCCCAACAGGTTAATGTTATAGTTTTAATATCTTTTATTATTACTTTTTTTCTTATTTTCCATATAAATATGGAGTTCTGCTTTTTATTTATTTTCTAAACTAAAGTTTATGCATGATGATTATTGGGTTTGGTTCTTGGTTTGCTGTATTTCTGTTTTTTGTTTAGGGGGCAGAAAGAGTAACAGTTTTTTAGAGCTATGAAAAACAAAACAAATGTGTTGTTTTTATTATTTTTTTTTATTACTATTATGGTTTAAATTGATTGAACCGTTATTTTTTTGGTAAGAAGATTTACTTTTGTTAGGAAAAAGTTGTTGTTTGTGTTTGTTGGCTCTATCTAACCACATATGAAAACTTAGTTTTATGAGTTTTTCATATGTAAATTTTTATATATTTTTTTAGTTTAAATAGTATTAAAATGAATGTGGGATGTTGTTGATGATTTGTTTTAATAAATATGCATATTTTAGTTTAAGTTTTATAAATAGAAAAATTATTCTAACAGTGTTAGAAGGAGTGTGTTTGGAGATATGTATATGATTTTAGGTGTTGTTTTTTTCTATTGTTGTGAAATTATTTGGGTGAATTTTCTATATTAGGAAAATTAGAGAAGAAATAAAATGTAATAGATAAATTTTGTATGGTTTTTGATAAGAATAAAGAATATGAACTTAATATAAAGTTTCTTATATGAAAAAAATGTTTGTGTGTTGACCCTACGTTCAGCTAAGGGTTAATTTCAGCTATAGTTTCATCCCAAGATCTTTGTGGTATCATTTTATTAAGTTTGATGAAAACCCCATAAAAAACTGTTGGGTTTTTGGAAACTTCTAAATATTTCAGAATTTGACCTTTGACCCTATGGTCTCAAAGAGCTAAAATCGAGTTCTAAGTTCTTATATTATTAATTTCCTAAGGTTTTATCTAAGATTCTATAACATTAAATTTGTTTTCTTATTAAATATTCCAAATTTTGACCTTTGACCCTAATATTAGATTGTTTAGACTTGAACAAGTTTGCTGAATCATTTGGTGTGTGTTTGGTATTATTCGTTATGTAATATTTTTGGCAACTGTGCATACTCTTTGTCCCTGTGGTACTTAGGAATAGGCCTGTTTAATGTCCGTTTTCTCTCCGTCCGTCTATCCATGTTTAACTTCGTAATCGAGCTAAAGAACATAATTTTGAAAAGAAATCTATGATCTTTTGTAAACAAGACTTTTTGTTTCCTAAATGGTTATGCATGTGCGCTGATATGTGTGGCATCTAAAAATATTCCCGTTTGAAGTCCGTCTGTCCATCCATCCGACCCTCCGTCTATACGACTTTAACTTGTAATCCAGCTAAAGATCGTAATTCCGAAGAGATTTCAATGAAGTTTTATACACATTTTGGTTCAAAATTAAGGATAAGGAGAGTATTACGCGTTTGCTCTGATGTTTGTGGCACACAAAAATATTCCTGCTTAAAGTCCGTCCGTCCATCCATGCTTAACTTATAATCGATCTAAAGAACGTAATTTTTAAAAGAATTGAACAAGACTCTTTGGTTCTAAAATGAGGTTATGGAGAATATTATGCGTTTGCGCTGATCTAATAATATTCCCGTTTAAAGTTCGTCCATCCATCCAACCGACACTCCGTCTATCCATCTTTAACTTCCCATCGAGCGTAATTCCGAAAAGAATTCTAAGGAACTTTTGTACAAAAGACTCTTTGGTTCTAAAATGAAATATAATACGCTAATTCACCTAGAAATATCAATTTTTTAAGTCCGCCCTGTTTAGTCCGTCTATCCAACCGTCCGTCTATACACGTTTAATTTATAATCGAGGTAAAGAACGTAATACTGAAAAGTGAACTTTAGTACACAATTTTGGTTCCAAACTAAGAGTTAAGAAGAGTTTGTGCTGATGTGTGTGGCACCTAAAAATATCCCCGTTTAAAGTCCGTCCATCCATTCGTCCGTCCGTCTATCCATGTTTAGCTTGTAATCCATTCGTAATGTCGAAAACATTGAACATTCGATCATGGTTCCAAAAGTAAACATAAATGAAAACGATTGATATACATAGGTCCACACATTCCTTTAACGTTTTTGTTTGAAGAAAATTCTGTTTACTCTTACTTCTTTTCTATTGGATTTGATTTTACAATTGCATGCTTTATTTGCCAAAGAGATTAACTTAGTTTTTAAGTTTTAATTAGAAGAACTTAAAAGAAATAAGAAACTGTAATAGTTTGAGCATTAAACAGTAAATATGAATTAAATTTTAATTACCATTTTTTTAAGTTAACCTATTTAGCATTTGAGGAAGTAAATAAGTAATTTGATTTATAGCTAACATTGGAGTTAGAAGTCTTACCTTATTATTTAATTTATTCCAAAACAATTTGGACTGTTTAACAGTTCTGCTTAAACACTTTTGGCTGCTTTATTTTAAAACTTTTACAAAGTATTTTATTTAATTTTTTTTTATTGCACTTTAAGTAAATAAAACATTTTCATGTTTAATTAATGATAATTTATGCATTTCATTTAAACTTCTATTGTTTAGCTTTTATTTTTATTAACTTTTTCTTTTTTTTAATTCTTGAAAAAAATCTTTAGAAAACAAACACTTTTAAAAAACTTTCTTGAGGTTTTATTTTATTAAAAAATTCTTTTAAAAACGAAATTTTAGAACTATTTTAATCTTTTTTTTCAATAATTTGTTTTTTTAATTCTTATTAAACGTTATATTTTGTTTATAATCAAAATTACTTAAAATTATTTTAAAAACATGCGTTTATTTTGAAAATTTTCTTTCCGTTATTTAGTCAACAACACGTCTGAGTTAAACGGCCTAAACATTTAAACTGATTGCATTAAATCTACATAACTATAGCTTAACTGGTTGTGTGTTTGTGTGTAGTTTGTTTAAGCCGCTATTTTTAATGATCAGTTTTTTGTGTTTTGTTTTGCTTGTTCATTCTTCTTGCTAAGTTTTCTTTTTCTCTTAAATTCTCTCTTTTTTCTGCTATTAAAACACCTGTCTTTAGTTATCAACTACAAAATCTTGTTTAACTCTCTCTCTCTGTTTCTTTGGGTTTATGGCTTGAAACTTAAAGTTAACTGTTAGTTTTAAGATATGATCATCATAACCTGCTCTATTCAAACTGGCTCTCTTTTAAACTCTCAAAAGAGTGAACGTTCGTAAAGTTCTGTTTCATAAAACCAGAATTTTGTATTACACTAGAAAATGAAAATGCTAATTTATCAATTTAACACCTTATCCAGCCAGTCACTACTACGTGTCTTACATTCTTCCGGAACATTTTCTAAAGTTTGTTTACATTCATTCAAGCTAAATAATGTTTAGGATACTACAGCTTCTCTAAACTGCGTCTTCCATAAATATCTGGTTTTTATTCCATATTCTAGTTAAAACCATGATTGTGCCTTTTTTTACTTTTTGCATCATTTAAATTCATTTTAAAGCATATAACTTGCTTTACATTTTTCTTGTAACTTATCCATTTGTTAGTTGTTTTTATTCATCAATTCTGCAACACGTCTTCTAAGTTAAAACCCCCATTCAAAATAAGCCCTTTTTATTCGTTTCTTGTGCAAAACTAGCACGTTCGTTTTGATTATTTCTTGGCTCCAGATAATTTCTTTACAACAATGTTTTATTGCTTTAAATTGTTTACTATATAAATTAGTTTTTGTTTCGCATATTATTACTAGTACTAGGTTAAGACTTTTTACATAATCATCTCTTAAACAAAAAAAAAATTATGAAATTTCTATTTCTATTGCTGCTAAGCCTTAAAGTTTTAGGGATTTTAGCATTCTTTAATTATCCCTATAAGGATAATAATCAAGTTACTAACGAAGTTGAAGTGGTTGACTATAATAAAATGGGCCAGGGTACTTGCCCTAAAATTAAACAGCCCTTGTGTGCTACAAATGGTGAAGAAGTGTTGTATTTTGATAATAAATGTTTGTTGGAAGTGAGAAATTTTGAACAGTTAATGAAAGGATTGAAAGGTAAGTAGAAGAATTGGAATTCAAATAGAACAAATATAGTTTGAACTATTGACTAGTCTATAGTCTGGTCTATAGCCTGGACTGTAGGCTTGTCTATAGTTTGGACTGTAGGCTAGTCCAACTATAATCTGGACTGTAGACTAGTCTATAGTCTGGACTGTAGACTAGTCTATAGTTTGGACTGTAGACTAGTCTATATTCTGGACTGTAGACTAGTCTATAGTCTGGACTGTAGTCTGGACTGTAGACTAGTCTATAGTTTGGACTGTAGACTAGTTTATAGTCTGGACTGTAGACTAGTCTATAGTCTGGACTGTAGACTAGTCTATAGTTTGGACTGTCGACTGGACTGTCGACTGAACTGTTTAGTCTACAGTCTGGAATATAGTCTAGTCTAGAGTCTGGGCTTTAATCTAGTCTATAGACGGGGTCGAGTCTATAGTACGAATTACAGTTTAGTATATAGTCGGAGCTATAGTGTAGTCTATACTCTGGACAATAGTCGAGTCTATAGCAAGGACTATAGTCTAGTCTATAGTCGGGACTATCGTCGAGTCTATATTAACGACTATAGCCTAGTCTATAATCTGAAATATAGTTTAGTCTTTAGGATGGACTATAGTTCAATCAATAGTCTAGTCTATTGTCTGAACTATAGTGTAGTCTATACTCTGCACAATAGTCGAGTCTACAGTAAGGACTATAGTATAGTCTATAGCCTGGAGTATCGTCGAGTCTATAATTACGACCATAGAGTAGTCTATAGTCTGGATATTAGTTTTATGTCTTTTTTGGATTATAGTTTATTCTACAGCTTGGACTATAGTCTAGTCTATAGCCTGAACTATTTTATAGTATAGTCTATTGTCTGGACTATAGTCTAGAATATAATCTGTACTATAATCTAGTTTCTAATCTACACTTTATTAACCTGAACTTTGTTTCAGAATACTTTGAATGCCCTTTAAGTTACTGTAGTCCTCAATGTGCTCCCTGTGGTGCAATTTATGAACCAGTTTGTGCCGTCAACGTCTTAACTGGAGAAATGGAAAATTTTCCCAATCCCTGTGAGGTAGAGCGAAAAATATGTTTCACCCAACAAGGTAAGCAAATTATCGGATAATTGAGCCAAGCTGACGTCTAGACCTGATAGTGTCATAGTTTTATGTTATCTTTAAAATATTTCCTTTTATAAACCTTTAGAACATCGCATAGTATCTTCCGGTTTGTGTCGCTCAAACCCTGCCCCACACTCCCAATGCCCTCAAGTTTGTACCTTAGAGTACAAGCCAGTATGTGCTCAATATCAAACAGAATTGAAACAGTTTCCCAATCAATGTCAATTAGATAAAGAGAAATGTGAGACCAATAAAGGTAATTTTTTTTTTTTTACAATACAGAATAGTCCAAAATGTAATTCAAAATACAATTCCAGATTGGCAAATAGTTGACCCTAGCTATTGTGCTGCAACTACCGATAACACAATTTCAACTTCATTCAAATCGCCTACCGAGGATAGTGAATGCCCCGAGTTTTGTACTTTAGAGTACCAACCGATTTGTGCTAGATTTATGACTTTGGAAAAGGAGTTCTCCAATGAGTGTGAACTTAAGACTACCATATGTCAAACTAAGCAGAGTAAGTTTTAAAAGGATTACAAAATAGTAAGAGGGATCTTATATATAATTTTTTATCTTAGAATGGGATGTTATAAGAAGAGGACCTTGCCAGCAAAACAAAGCAACTATGGCTTTAGATTTGTTAAAGCCTAAAAACAAGTGTCCCGAGTTTTGCACTTTGGAATATGATCCCATATGCGCTAAGTTTGGGAATGAGTTAAGAGAATTTGCAAATAAGTGTGAACTGGAAACTGCCATTTGCAGAAATATGGAGGGTAAGTTTTGCTAGAAATTACTTCTTGAATTCATTTAAATTTAATTTTGTTTTAAGATTGGCAAATTATTGAGCAAGGACCCTGTCCGAGTGTTTCAAATAATAAAGCTATTAAGCTAGAACAAAAGCCCAAATGTCCTCAGTTCTGCACTTTGGAGTACAGACCCATTTGTGCTCGGTTCGAGCAGGAATTAAGAGAATTCGGCAATAAGTGTGAATTCGACACTACCGTATGCGAAACGGGACAAGACTGGCAAGTTATTAATAGTGGACCCTGCTCCTCAGGCATATCGGTGTTTAATCATCAAGCTGCTAAAATATCACAAGACCCCAGATGTCCACAATTCTGTACTTTGGAGTATAGACCCATTTGTGCTCAGTTCAATAATGAATTGAAAGAGTTTTCAAATAAGTGCGATTTAGAAAGTACAATTTGTTTAACCAAGCAAAGTAAGGTTTTTCAAAATATAAACTATAGATCGGAAAAGTTATTGTTAAAATTTTATTACAGAATGGGAAGTTGTTAATGAGGGCACTTGCAATACAGAGCAGTTAATTAAAAAGCCTAAATGTCCCCAAGTTTGTACTTTGGAATATAGACCGATTTGCGCCCAATTTGAAAACGATTTGAGAGAATTCTCTAATAATTGTGATTTACAAAGGACCATATGTGAAACGAATCAAAGTAAGTTCAACAAATGATTATAAAATATTTCCGGAGTTTTTTATAATTTAGGAACTTTTGACTTCAGAATGGCAAGTTGTTAAACAAGGACCCTGCTTTTCCGACTCCTCTGCTGAAATCACAGAATGTCCCCAATTTTGCACGAAAGAATATCAGCCCGTTTGTGCTGAATTTAAGGGGAAAGAAAGAGAATTTGCAAATAAATGTGTGCTACTGAAAGCCATATGTGAAAGTAATAAAAGTGAGTTTTACAGACTAGATATTTAACTCTTAGATTTATTTAATATGACCGTCTGTATCTTACAACAGAATGGGAACTGGTTAAAATGGGTCCTTGTTCCAAACAAACCCCAAGTGTGATCAAAGTCTTTCCACCGAAATGTCCCAAGTTTTGTACTCGAGAGTTTGATCCTGTTTGCGCTAAGCTCAATAATGAACTAAGGCAATTTTCCAATAAATGTGTATTGGAATCGTGGAAATGTGAAACAAATGAAGGTAAATTTTAACAAAATTAAACTGAATTTGGTACTAATTTTTTGGTTTTCTTTTCAAGAATGGGAACTTGTTAATAAGGGCCCATGTCCTTCGATCGAACCAGCTTCGAATACACTGTCCTCACGAAATAAATGTCCCAAATTTTGTACAAGAGAATTTGACCCTGTATGCGCTAAACTCAACGAAGAGTTAAGAGAGTTTTCCAATAAATGTGTATTGGAATCGTGGAATTGTGAAACAGATGAAAGTAAATATAATTTAACGAAATTGATGAAAGTTTGATTCTAAATTTATACCTTTCCTTTAAAGAATGGGAACTTGTCAAGATGGGTCGGTGTTCCTCTATTAAACCAGCCTCAGCATTACTGTCTTTACCAAATAAATGTCCGAAATTTTGCACCCGAGAGTTCGATCCTGTTTGCGCTAAACTCAATAATGAACTAAGAGAGTTTTCCAATAAATGTGTATTGGAATCTTGGAATTGTGAATCAGATGAAAGTAAATTTTCTTTAATGAAATTATTATATAGCAGATACTAATTTCTTTGTTACCATTTATAGAATGGGAGCTTGTTAGTTTGGGTCCTTGTTCCAAGAACAAACCAGTTTCACCAACTTCCTCTGTAAGTTCTATGAACTTGGCTAAAAAATTAACCCCAACTCCCTTAGTAAGTTGTCCCAAGTTTTGTTCTCGAGAATACGAACCAGTATGTGCTCAGTTTGACAACGAATTAAGAGAATTTTCCAACAGATGT